AGAATTTCTGTCAAGGGTACTTTATGGCGACCCCTCTCAGAAATATGGTTCAACCCCCCTAAGAAAAATATAGCATTGACCCCCCCCCCTCCCTCTAAGAAATCCCGTTCCTTTAATAGGGGGGGTGCAGATATTAAATGGAATGGCCCAATCAAGAGCTCCGGACGCCGAGTGAAACAGAAGTCGAATTGAATCAGAGGCATGGGAGTTCCTTTGAAAGTTGAAAACTGCTATTCAATTGCTAACGTTTGTACCTTAAAATAAGACCAGGGTCAAGACTAAGCCTTCTTCGTTTCTTTGGTGCTTCATGTGTCCTTGTGTTAAAAATTTCAGGAGATTCTGTGGACATGAGAAGATCAGCGAACCGTTTTTGAGCCTTTGGTGTAAAACTCACTGACTTTCTCCTGCCCGCCGGCTTTTTCTCCTTTTGACCAAGAAGACTTTTCCTTCTATTAACTTTCCGTTGGTGTTGAAGGGGTGAAGAAAAGATGGGTTCCAGAAGGCCATCTCCAGACGAAAATCTGTACAATTTGTTATTTTCCTCGAAGGTGTCTCTTTTACTGTTGTCCACACAAACACACTCGATGACTTTTTTCTCCAACAAAATTTGACATAAAGATTTGACCTGAGAGCGAGTGGCTTCTTTAGATAATAGTGGATTGCTATGAATGTAAGACTGAAGTACTTCAACAACATCTCCACCACGAAAACAGTTCTCATAATACTGAAACTTCCATCGCCTTCGACGTTGCTCTACTTGGGTTTGAAGATGAGCGATAAGATCTTTCCAAATTTTGGTTGCCTTGAATGGTTCGTGCTCAACGACATCTCCATTGCCACGGTAGTTCGCGGGTTTGTTTTCATTCATAATGCCTGTGGAATTTCAAACCCTCAAAAGGAATCTCGGGCAGACGTGAAAATGCAAGAAAATTAGATACTATTCTTTGAATCAACCGCCAAGACACGTGACAACTTAGTTTGCATACCACGAGAAGTACTGGAAACGACAATATCGCAACCGTCGTAGACAACAAATAAGAATATACACTTACACAGTGTGCGTATGGGATTTTCGTATATTCAAATTCATTGATTTATCACTTCGACGAGTTTAAGACGAACCAACATAATAACCAGCTCCCAGTCGGCTTGTTAGCTCAGTTGGTAAAGCACTGCACCGGTATCACGGAGGTTGCCTATTTCCACTGCTACATAAGTAGCGCTTATTACTGCGAGGACCGCTTTAATTATACGATACACACGTTTCAATAAACTTTTCATTATGACAATGAAGAAATCTTTCCACATAAAACTAACACACCTGATGAGTTGTGGAACCTCTTCACTTTCATGTTCATAAGCAATTCTTAACTTTTTTTTTAATGGAGCGGGGGGAAGACATTGTGGGGACCCAGAATTACTCCCTTCAATGTAAGAAGTCCCCAGAGTACTGATGTGTAAATATATGGATGCCCCTTAAACCACAAACTACAGCAATAAAATGGACCACACCATTTCTGACAAATAAACAAACCAAACACAATAAAGAATACTTTTATTAAGATATCATTAAGTATTGTTAATTGTACCATACTGGAAAGAACTTTGAAAAGCTATGTTTGCAAGATGAAGAAATTCTCTGCTAATCTCTTTAATTCCCTGAGCTGTCACTCAAAGCCTGCTTTCTTCTTGCTCCTTTCGCTCTCCTTTTTTCTCTTCCTTCGTTCAGACTTAATTAACTGAAGTGTCTTGAACACATCCATAGTTGACTCAAGAGGTGGAGAAAGAGGTAATCTGTTTACTAAAGCAGTCCTGTTTACAAAAAATAGCAAACAATGGGCATTTTGAGTGCTTCTGCTGTCTAAGTTAACCAAAACTAAATTCATCATAAAAAATCACAATAATTCATAAGAAATGTCTTACAAATCCATCATCTTGAGCTCACAGCTCAAAGTTCCTGTTGCACCCAATGGATCCAGATCCCTTGGCCCTTTTCATAACCCAACAGTGGTGAATATCTAGTTTATACTTACAGTATCACCACTGAATCAAACATTGAAGTCATGAAAATATGGTAAATGAAATGATAGTCAATCTAAGAAGCTTTAATTGTTCAACAAATTCTCCTGGTCAGTTCCAAAGGAAATGTACAGAGACGAGTGTGGAGAATATTGATTCTGATGTTAGGATGTAAAGGGTTGAGCGAGCTTTCTAGGCTCAAAAACAAGTGGCTATGACACCTAAAATGGTGACAAAATTGTCTCTGAAAATAAGCAAGTCATAGATGTCTGCTATATTGTTTGTTATGAACATCAAGCTTGTGCACAGTCAATGTCATGTGATGGTACGGTCCAACCTCCAGCTATGAACAATGGACCATTTCTTTGAAGTTTAATGCATTTCATAACCAGTTTTCTCTTATGTTGGTCTGTGATCTGTATTATGTAACAAATGCTTGTGGTAGTGTCTAACATATTTTGACACCAGTTTGATCCCCATTATCATAGCCTTGAACCAGGGTAACAAAGAAACTGAACTGATTTGAAAAAACTTCCAACCAGGAAAAAAAGTAACCTTCAGTCCTTTTGGGTTTATTAAGCGAGATGCAAATTAAAATCCACAGCTAATGCAGACAAATTCTGAACTCTGCCAAGAAGAGTTTATAGGTAAATAAAGCTTGCAATAATTATTTTCCCAAAGAAAGAGAAAGTACTGGGTAGACCTCACAGTCAGATCAGTTGTTAAGGAGACGTAGCAACATTCAAGTAACTACACTATACCTTTTCATTTCTTTGTATACCCTGAGTGATACCCAAGCATCTGTGGCAGCATACAATAATTGCCTTTCAGTCAATTCCTCCTGTGACCAGTTAGACTTTCCAAGATTTTTTGTCAGCCGTTCATTAAGGAAAATGGCACACAAAGCTCTTAAGTTCAATGGGTTGCAGTTCATTTCTCTAGCCCAGATTAAAGTGTCTACCATGTTGTTTATACACTCTCCATATTGATTCTGAATCAAGCTTGCATCTTGAGAAATGTCATTCCCCACCTGTTACATGTAAAAAAAAAAAAGCAAAACCAAGAATATCCCCAAACTCTAAATAGTTAACAATTTTTCCCTGAAGGGGAGTTGAATAGTGGTGGGTATTAACTAAGCCAGAAATTTCATGTTTTTGAGTAATTCTGTATCTTCATGTTTGAGATGTGTTTCCAATTTGAGAAACTATTCCAAGATCAAAAAGGTGCTAGCCTACTAATATCTCAAATTTATAAAAATTTTAAAGCAGAGAGAATACAGATCAAAATTGGGTGTTTTAAAAGTTCTTTTATTTGACTGTGTTTAGTCAGAAGTAACTTTGTGCTGCAGATATCTTTAAAAGACTCACAACCTCATCAAAAGGGAGAGAAATGTTTATGATAAGTCTAGTAAACTAGCTTTTATTTAGAGTAAAGGATTTTTAGTATTGATCATGCCTGTATCATTATTCATTCTCCTGATGGAGACGTATTCTTTCTTAAATACATTCAGGGTTTCTGCACCCCAACCTGAAATAACTACCAAGGAACAAAAATAACACAAACAACTCTATCTGAAGGTTAAGGTTTATTTGCTTTGTAGTTAACAGTGTTCCAGGGCGGAGCTTAAACTCCCATACAAAGCTTTATATTATTATCCTCTCCTAAATGGTTCTCATAGAGAGATTGGGCTCCCTGTGGCTTAATTACCTTACCTTCAACACGTTTCCGAGAAAAAGGGACAACAAATATGGAGGAAGTTTTTCGCGAAAGCTTCCCCGACTACAAATCCATAGAACGGCATTTTTATTTGAGGCCAATTGAATCAAAGTGATCGTTGGCAAAGCGTTCCGACGCACCACAAATTCTGTATCCAGTCCAAGAGCGTCTTGACTCCTGAAATCTTGACAGACTACACCATTCTCCACCAATCGTCGTTCATCTGACTCATTTCGAACAAGGTGTAGTGTCCCTCGAAACTTACACGACTGCGGAATTTTACCATTTTCTTCATTTCGACTAAAATAGTCACTCGGTAAGATAAATTTGCGAGTCGTGCCGCTGAGATCCTCAACTCCAGGATCAATGTACGGTTCGTCCTTGTGAGTCAAATAGGCCCTTAAAGCTTTCTTTTTCATTTTAGCGTAGTCTAAAAAGCTTTTCAGAGCTTTCCCCCTTCCCTGCAGCATGAGTCGTTTAGGCACCTTTTGGAAAAGCAGTTTCGGTAGATGGAAGGCAGCCATATATGGGCAAGTAATTCATGGCAGTCTCCATATAGACTCCCTCTTACCCAGTCTCCATATAGACTCCCTGTTACCCATTCTCCCTGTGTACCCTGTGTACCCTGTGTACCCTGTGTACCCTGTGTACCCTGTGTACCCTGTGTACCCATGTGTACCCTGTGTACCCTGTGTACCCTGTGTACCCTGTGTACCT